TAGAACTCCATATGATCCAGCGATACTACTCCTGGGCATCTACCTGAAGGAATGTAAATGAGGATACAACATAGGCACTTGTAGACCCATGTTTATTGTAGCACTGTTCACAATAGCCAAGCTAAGGAAACAGCCCAGATGTCCTGTAACTAATAAATGGATTAAGAAAACGTGGTGTACATACCCCATGGAGTTTTATTCAATTGTAAATGAAAATATGTCATTTGCAGGTAAATGTATCGAATTGGAAGGCATCATGATAAGTGAAGCAAGCCCAGTTCAGAAGGACAAAGGCAGCATGTTTTTTCTCATATGTGGAAGATAGATCCAAAAGACAAATGTACACACAAAACAAACATGGTCATATACACATTTATATATAGAACATGTTTGTAATGGTGAAACTACTCTTTGGAACTTGGGGGAGAAGGGAATGAAAAGAGAATGATAAAGACTCATAATATCGAGATACATTGTGTCTGTGCAGGTAGATGGCATAAGGATACGTACTGAAAGCTGTTGAATAAAAGGGAATAGGAGGAAAGTGATGAGGGAGAGTAACAGAGGGTTTTAAACTGACCAAAGTACAGCATATTCACAGCTGGTTTTAAACACAAACTTTGGAATTGAAAATGAAAGACAGGACTGTAAAATAGGTACCATGGTGGAGTACTTGTAGGACAGGAAGGGGTGAGTGGAGGAGCTGAAGGTGAGGGAATATGGTTGACAGACTTTGTGAAATACGTATATATATAATGTACATATGTATGCAATAGAATGATGAAACATCTTGCAATTGTTTTAAGTGGGGAAGGGTGGGGGAGGGAGTTAAAGTAGGGAGATGGTGGGGATGATATTTACAATGTAATACTATCATTAATTGTCACAATGAATTCACCCCTGTACAATGAATATATGCTAATTAAAAGGAGAAAAAAGAAATTTATTTCTTTTGAACAGTGTAGAAATAAGATTTTTTCCTATCACAAAAAGTTTACATTTAGAGATGCCTAATTGATTAGTTTATCACAATAGATTTATTCTGTCTTTGGTGCTCTGAATATCTCTAGGCTCTGTCTAATCACCTGTAGTCAATGTCTTTCTGGGGCAATAATGCTAAAACAGTGATAATTCAGCAGTTTTATGAACTTGTTCTGCTATCAGATTTTTGTCAGCATTGATCTTGGTAAACTCATCAATGAATTTCTGCACTTCTACATAGTCAGCAGATGCTTTATCACCACAAATTTTTTAAAATGTAATGCCTTTTCTTAAATTTATTCATCCATCATATTGAATATTCACAGTTCCCTTTGATTTTTATTCATTGTGGTCATTAACTTCTGTTCATTTTCAGCGTAGAATTTCAGCAGTTTATCCTTTCATTTTTCAAATATGGTGGTCATTTCAACACCCTACTCTTTTGTTTCACACTTAACATTGCCGACCAGCTTCTCCAACAACTTGACTGTCTGTGCTATAGATAAACATAAATGCTTCTTCTTTTTCTTATCACTGTTAAAATGCCTTTTAAGCACTTTGATTAATACCTTGTACCACAGAGCAGAAAATGAGCAAACACACACAGTGAGTAATGCATACAGGTTTGGCCCCACATGAGGCATACTAGGGATTTTGCCATTGGTGTCTCCAGACTGCACATGTCATTTCATTACCCATTGTGGGTGTACCTGTGTAGGGGTATCTGGTTGCCCATAGACAAGATACATCACAGTTAGAGGAGAATGGGAGAGTCATTTTTCCCTTGGGGATGCTTAAGAAATTGCATTGTGTTTTTGAGTGGAATTTTCCACTTATATCATCATGTTGGTGCTCAAAAAGTTTCAGATTTTGAGAATTTTTGGCTTTTGGATTTTCATATTAGGGGTGCTCAACCTGTATCAATTTTGATTTGTCCAGGTAATTCTTAGTCACATATTTACTCTATCTTGAATTTTTCATACCCATATGCATGTCCAAATTTCTTTATGGTATCATGTTTTTCTTGCCTAAAGGAAGTAACATTAGTATGTCTTTGAGTCCTGACCTATGAGCAATGATTTTTCTGTCAAAGGAAAGTTTTGTTCTGTCCTCTCTCTTTTTTGGGGGGGCAGGGAGACATGAATGGGGAACTGGGTTTGAACTCAGGGCCTCATGCTTGTTTACAAGTGCGTGACCACTTGAACTTGAGCCATGCCTTCAGACCATTTATTCTTCAAGGTTACTTTTATAAACAAAAGAATTTTTGGTCAGCAGTTGTTACCTTTTTTTTTTTTTTTTTTGCTTGAACTCAGGCTTACACTTTGAGTCACTCCACTGGCCCTTTTTTGTGATAGGTTTTTTTTTTTTTTTGAGATAGGTTCTCATGAACTATTTGCCTGGGCTGGCTTCAAACCACGATCTTCCTAATCTCTGCTTCCTGAGTAACTAGGATTAAGGGTGTGAGCCACACAGGACCTTTGGGTCCTGTGAATCAGGACCCAAATAAAGCCTACACACCATACTGGCTTTTGGATGATGTCTCTCAAGTTTCCTTAACCTGAAGTTCACCTTTCTTTTTCTTTTCCAACACTTTTTGGCAGTACTGAGGGTTTGAACTCAGGGCCTCACGCTTTCTAGGCCACTTGAACTGCTTAATCCAGCCTTATTTTTTCCATGCTCTAGATGACCTCTTAAATAGCTTTTGGCTTCTTTATTCTTTCTTCTTTTCTTCTTTTTCTTTTTCTTCTTCTTCTTACTATATTTGTTATTTTTACTTTCTATTATGGGCCTTAATTTATTTATTTTTCCTGTAGGAATATTTTTCTTACATGTTAGAGTTATATATGTGTATTAATAATATGGTATTGCCTTCTATTTGTTTTTATCTTCAATTTGGAAGATAAGTTGAGAGATAACTTCAGTACAATTAGGATTAAATTAGGTAAGAAAATAGTTTAAGATTCATATATCTTACAGAATTTCTGTTCAAATCCAAAATGCCTCTATTGGGCTGGAGGTATGGCTCAAGTGATAGAGTACCTGCCTCACAAGTTCAAAGCCCCAAGTTCAAACCCCAGTACTACCAAAACAAAAGTACCTCTATTTGTTCACTGTTAAAGACACTGATGTTCAGAGTTTCAAATATCAGTTCACTAGCCTTCTATCCCAAGCTCTTTCAAAACAAGGTAAATGTTTCAAAGGGAAGGCAGTATATGTGTCTTGAGACAAGCTATGCATCCCACTAGATCTTTGCTTCCTAAATACAAGCTTATAGCTGTTTCTGTCCTTGGAAGTTTCACCAGATATCTCCAGCCCCCAGAAGAGGACTTAAATTTAACAAATGGGACATAAGATAAATTGAATTTTGAATTTGATGTTCTAAGTTTCTAGTTTATCAATTTTGTCTTGCCTAGGCATTAAGAGGTTTTCTTGCTTCCTCAATAGAGGCTAACTCAGTTGGTCAAGCATAATCCTGAATTTATATTGAAGATCAACAACTCTTCCATACAAAATGAAATACTGACAATTCAGAATGATTTTCCCTTCTGTGTAATTTTGAGGTTTCTAATCATTTCTTGCATTTCTCTCTAATACATTTAATGTTAATTTAAAAAATTTTTATTTGGTATTTTATAGGAGTTTTCCCCCAAGAAGAATCATTTGCCTTCCCAAACTTACTACATTTTACCTAAAATGGTAAGTACTTCTTTATCTCATTTTACAACCAAAGAAACTGAAGTTGGAGAGCGAGCTGTTATCTTCATGACATTTTGTCTGCCCGTTTAATTCTCCAAATGTGGTAAAGGGCAATGAAAAGAAAAAAAAAACTAAAAACCAAAGCTAAATAACTTGTGATGCCTTTCTCTTGCTTTCTCAATTATGCCAAGATTAGTATTATAATAGTCACAATTCAGTCAAGAAAGATGAAGGGAGAGGAGAAGGGAGCAGGGGAGAGGAAGGAAGGAAGGGAGGGAAAGAGAAAGGGAAGGAGGGAGGGAAGAAACCACAACAGTGATTTGAGGGAGATAGAATGAAATATAAGGAACTATGTAAGCAACTGTTGAAGAAAAGAACAAGTTAAGTGGGACTGCACTGCTAAGTATTAATTATGAGGTACTAATTGCAAGAGAGTAATTTCTTTCATGATGTTGAGGAACAAATGGAAGAAGTTGTGGTTACTTGAACATCAAAGACTGTAAAATGGCATCATGGATCTGAGACTAACCTCTATTGATGTTAAGCCAGTGCTGGAAATTTGGGATATTTGTTAAAAAACAAAACAAAACCCAAAGAACTGGAATTCAGAATTCTGAGAGTAACACTTTAGATAGTTATGTTAGTACTTCTGAAGCTGGCAAAGGCTTGACTTACAGTAAAGTTAAAAAAAAAAAAAGAAGAGGAATGGGGAAAGTGGGGAGAGAGAGAGAGAAGACCAGGAGTATTCTTTCTTTTTTCTAATTTGTGGAACTGGGGTTTAAACACAGAGCCTCATGCTTGCTGGGCAGGCGTACCACCTAAGTGACTCCACCAGAAAGGACTGGGAATATAAAAGAGGGGATGAACTTGCTCAAAATACACTGTATGTATGTATGGACTTAACATAATGAAATCCCATTATATTATTAATGTATGCTAATTCAAAAATAAAATTTTAAAAAAGAGTTGGGAATGGATTAAAACCATATATCATTATTAATACAAAACCTGTTATTCAAGAAATAGTCGCATAAGCAGGAAGAAAACTAACCTTGTAGATTTCTAGGTTTCTGCTCATTCTTACATTGCAGAACCTTCTAAGCTTATAGGAAGACCACTGCTGTAGAAGAAATTTGGCTGCCATAAAACAGAGCACAGCACAAAAGGGAAAGATTGAGAGCTGAGAGGCAGTAACTGAAAAACAGGTACACAATCCATTCGCCATGTCTTTTTTCCAGGGTATGAAAAGAAGTAAATTTCAAAAAAAAATAAATCTTCAAATTACTTAAAACACTGAGGAATAAGTAGAAACATACTAGGAATTAATATTTAATGGAACTTTTTTTGGATGAAGTTCTTGAAGAGGGTGCTGATTGCTTTTGTTGTTGACTGTGGGAAAGCAATGATCCGTGTTGACTATGCAATGTTTTCTCTGCTTTTCCAGTTTTAGCTTGATCTTTTTGCTCTTCTTTCTTAGGTTTTTTCTTCATACAAAGCCGACAAAGACAACACAATAAAATAATCAAAATAAGAAGCAACAGTAGACACAGATAACAAAACTTCTTTTTCCGCTCTCTCTTTGGGGGTGGACCACTGTCAACACTACCTCCATATCCTTGGATCACACAGTTTGGAGGGTCCCACAAATAGTTACAATGGCAGTGATGTTTATTGTTACAGATTCCTCTCATATTACAGAATGTAGGTGAGCAGTTACTATCCAGTACAGATATATGCATACATTGCTTACGGATGCAGAGATGTTCTCGATCACACTTTGTACCTTCTTTCACTACACCGATATCAGGTATTTTCATCCCTGGATGGTAATCAGTACCCCAGCAGGTCATGTTGTTGAAACTAGCATAGTGCACAGTAGAGTGTTCTATCAAAGAGGGAATTTCTGTCACATTATCACACTGAACTCTCCCACACATGACATCTGCATCATTACATTTTTTATATGTAACGCCTTGTAAACCACAGTTGCCAAAACGAGAACCTTGGGTGTTGATTCGTTTGTAGCAATTCTTATTTGCACTCTTTGCTTTTTGTCCAAAAATCTGCCTGCAAAGTTCATCGCGGTCATTACATTCCCTTCCAAAGCAGTAGGCTGTGTCAGTACAAGGAATTCCATCTTCCACATATACATCATCTGGGCACTTATGGGAAGTTCCATTGCACCACTCTGGAAGATCACACAAATTAGCCTCTTTTCTACACACTTCCCCTGATGGTAAATACTTACAGTCTTTACAACAAAGTCCAAAGGCACAAGTAGCTCCATAACTCAGAGTGCAGTTTGGCATACAACACGGGTCTTTTGCACAGTGACGGAAAAGCCCACAGTCACACTGTTCTTCATCTTCAACAATACCATTTCCACAGCGCTTCACGCTAAAGATATCTTTGGAGTGTACATTGTCTAGTAAACATGATGTAGCTGCTATAGTGTAGGTCCAAAAATCATTATTACTACAGTTGCTAAATTTAGTTATTCCTGGGTTATCCTCATGCATTATACACTTAGGATGTCCACAGTTACATGTAGCCTGATCATGGTTCATGCCTAAATTATGACCTAAATGATGAGATATTGCAATTGCGAAAAGGGTCACAGTTCTGTTAGCATAAGTAACAATTGCACAACTACGTGGTGGATAACACATTCCTCTCACCATACCTAGGCCACTTAATCCTCTTAAGTGACTGTTAATAAAAAGATGTGTGGTATCATGATAAATCCGAGGAAAAATGTTTGCAAGTTTCCACCTGCAAAATATGTCCAGAGATTTTCTTACATCATCTATTACTATAAGGTTTCTTTCAGTCCAGATTTCCAAACCACACATTAATATGTTAATGCCCATAACAGTATAAATTGAATCCACTATATTTACCGTAGTAAAAAGATCCTCCATCACTTTTGAGTCATTCTTTCCAAAACGAGCATATAGCTTATTATCAAACACTGATACCATTTCAATAGTCCTATAATGGACCCACCAGCCTTCATAGCGACTTTGATTTAGAGTGGAATTATCAATCTCTTGAAACTCCACTTGGCATGCTACTTTATGTTGTTTAAGGTGAGAGTTCCCGGTTGTAGATTGTGTCTCCTCACTATACATCTTATATAGCAGATGTTCAAATGTGGTAGGAAAATTTCTGGGTATCATTTCATAAGTACTGTTATTTGTCTGTAGCATTCCTTGAAAGCCCCCAAAACAAGTACTGAGGGCAACCAGAGATTCTGGGTCCCCCTCCACAAAACCATGATAGTAGCAGTTATCCTGAACAAAAGGATGGTCTTCATGCAGAGCACCCTGGTCTGTGTAGGTGAACACTGGAAATTCTTGGGAAGCAAAAGCTTCTTGACCTTTATGTGGACAGTGTGTCCCTGGCCTCCAAAGTGCATGCGATAGGAAAGCCAGCCTGGAGGCCCCACTCTGTCAGGGCTAGCTACCTTCATGGGAATCACCACCTCTGGAGGACTGAGATATTGTGGGTTCTCAGCCTGGGTGAGTCCAGAAAAGGACAGAAACATCCCAAACCATTGTAGCAGGAGTAAGATCCTCATATAGAACAGACCTTCAATCATAGTCATAATGAATCCTAATCTATAAAATCATAGGTTCAGAAAAGAAGTTAAATCTAGGAGTCATAGCTCGTGTGGATCCTTCTTTTGAGATGGTCAGCATTCAGGGCTAGTCATTAAGAGCCTGTCTTCTGGCAGAGTTGAATCATCAGAGCTCCCTGCAAGGAAAATAAAAAGCAACATGTGGCTGGGAGTAGTTATGAGAAGGTATGGAGGGGAGAAAGAAAAAGGCATGGAATAAAAGATGAATGGAAAAACAGCCTGGAATTTGCTCTTAAATATTGTTAGGAAAGAGGGAGCCAGAGGACATACAGAAAATGAAAATTGGCCACAGGCTGGTAGCTACTGAATGTAAATGATGAGATAAATGGATTCATTACATCATTACTTAAATATATAAGTATTTGCAACCATTTAAATACCAAATAATTATAATAAAAATTGTTAAATAAAAATTGCTCTTGGATTGCTCAGACAGTCCTATTATGCACTTGTTAAATTGGCCTAAGTATTAGTAGCTTTTCTTCTCAATTTTAGATGATAAATTACTTAACATTGCCTAAGAGATATTTTTTAAGACAATTCTCGTGTTATTTTAAAATTTCTTTTATATTAGCTATCACATACCTCCCTATGGCACAGTATTTAACTCCTTCTTCTCTAACTTCCTCTTCTCTCTAAACTTGTCAGACTGGAAGATACTGAACAGCATCATTTATTTCTTTCACAAATATTAATACACAATGCCTGGCTTAATTCTTTAAACAATAAATGGTGGCCAACTGAGTAGTGATTGTTACTCAGAGTAATATGACTATTCTTAAAGGGTTTACACTAGAACACATTTTTAAAGAACACCACCATTCAACATATGTGTCAATTTGTGTTCTGGATCAAAGTGCTATCAATTCAGTAATCCTTAATTCTTCTCTCTAAATACAACTTAATACCCTGGAAATAAGTCAATGGATAACAACAAAAAGTCTCTGAAAGTTGAAAAGAAAAAGACACACTGACTAGTGGTCTCTGGACTTGAAGAATGAGAACAAGGTGAGTTCTCTGAGTTTTCATTTAATCTGTAATGTACATCCCAAACTGGGTGCTGGACAAGTCTTCACGCAGAATCTTGAAAGAAGCACAGACAAAAACAAACAAGTAAAAAACTGAAGAAAACTGCACTTTCTTGTCTAATGACTGAGAATAGAAAGTTTGACAAAGACCTAGTGAGGTGATCCAGCACTTTTTTTAGAATCAAAACACTTGATTCACCCACAGTCACAATTTCAGACATTTGGTAGGCTTATACAACTCAGTGTAGACACCTGTGAGAGAATGAAGATGAAGCTTCAAAATACCACTTACCCACTATAATTACATAAATTGTGTCAATTTACCATGTTTTTGCTATATAGCAACCATTTCTTTTACTTATTTTTTACATTTTAAATTTATTTTACATTACTAATAATGAGAGAATTCATCATAACAATTCCATCCATTCATACAGTGTATCATGAACAAGTTCATTCCTGCCATTATATTTTCATTATTCCTCTCCATTTTCCCACTTCCTCTCAAACAATGTTTGGTGGGTTTCATTCAAAAGAAAAGCATTGAATTGCTTTTCTTAAAATGAGTTTTTGCTAATTAATAATTTTTAAATATAATGCAGAATAATTTAGTGTTAGTAATTGAGTTCAGCATTGACTACCAGTGATATAGCATAAAAAGTTATTTGGAACACTCTGAAAAAGAAAAACTGAAGCTACTATAATCAGAATTTATTAGAAAATTTTAGCCTCTCTTTATATAATTAAATATGAGTCGTATATTCTCAGAGATATTCTTGCTAAAAGATGAGACCTGAATTTAATCAAACCTCCACAGTTAATTTCCATTTTCATGGGAAAAAAGGTAATAGAGAAAAAAATTTTAAATCCTTGAAAAAACAGAAACATCAAGGTGTAGTCTACAAAACACCACCTTGTTTTCTTCAGTAAACCAATGACATTAACAACAACCAAAGTAGAAAAAGAGGGAAGGTATAGAGTATAAGAAACATAAGTAGCACAATTTAATTCAAGTGTAGTATCTGGACATTTATGGCTCTTGATTCATGTGAACAAATAGTACAGTTATAGTACCAGAGAAATATTATTGATTAGGTATTAATTAATATTAAGGAAGCCCTTTGTAATTCTGTTTGAAATAATATTGGATTTAGTAATATATAAAATATGTCCATGTTTTAAAGACTCAGTAATAAAATGGGTGGAATTTGCCTTAAGTGCTTTAGCAAAAACAGAAGAGTGTATATAAACCACATGTAGTAAAACTTGATAATTTGGGAAATAACTTTTACTATACTTTTCTCAGTAGTTTAAATGTATTTAAGCCAGGTATTGTGGTGCATACCTGTATTCCTAGTTCCAGAGGTGATGCAAGAGAATTGCAAGTTCAAGTCCAGCCCAGGCAAAGTGAATGAGACCCTCTCAAAAACAAAATAAAAACAAAAGGGCCTAACTAAGAAGCAGAAGGCCCTGAGTTCAGTCCCTAGTACTGCAAAAAGTATACATGTACAAACAGTAAGCAACTTTATTCATGGCTTTACTACACATGGTTTTGACCAAACATGGTCAAAAATAAGAATTTTTTTAAAAAATCAAAATAAATTTCAAAACCAAAATAAATTTAGATTCCTGTGTGTCTTCTACAACAGTTCAGTTAATGAGAATAAGCTCTCAGTCAGTCCCACATTATTGTCTGTTGTGTTTAAGTCATTGTGTGATCTGCTAAGTGCTTTCCTGCACTTAATTTTGTGAAAATCTTCCTCCCAAACAGCAAATGGTGTCCAAAAAGCACGGCAAAAGTTAGTGTGCTTAATTTAAGTGATCTGTTAGATCTGTTGAAAGGTGACATGTCTTTAGCAGAAGTTGGACATTATGGGGTAAAGTACTGAACTCTATGCATCCTGAGTAGTCATGGTTTTTTCTCTGCTCTGATCTACTTGGAACTTGATACTCATGGAAACCAAAGATACCAAAGACTTATATTTATCTATATGTCTATATCCATACGTAAATATTTAAATTTTATAATCATGCTTTGAAGTATGTTTTCCTGACAAAAACAGAATAAAAAGTTGATTTAGAGTAACAGATAGAAAATATTAACTTAAGCACAGTTTGGCCCTACCTTTTGTGACTTAAGTAACAGGCCATCTCATTAAAGAAATAGCATTTTATTTGTTGATTACAGTTATACCCCAGATAATAAAATATTTTTCTATATTTTATGTGTTTAAAAATTCAAGGCACTTATTATGAACTGAATTATGTCACTTTAAATTTGTATGCTGGGTCCCTAACCCACAATGCTTCAGAATGTGACTATATTTAAAGATGGGGTCTTTAAATAGGTAATAAAAGTTTAAAAGAGGCCATGAGGGTAGGTCCCAATCCAATCTGACTGGTATCCTTATGAAAGAATAAATTTAAACATACAAGAGTTATATATATGCTCAGAGGAAAGGCCATGTGAGGACAGCCAAAAGTCAACCATCTGCAAGCAAAAAGCAGAGGACTCAGGAGAAATCAAACTTGCTAACACCTGACCTCTGACTTATAGATGCCATACTGTAAGAAAATAAGGGTTTTTGCTGTTTAAGTCATCCAGACTAGAGTATTTTACTATGGTAGCCCTACCAAGCTAATACTGCAAACAGATGAGAATAGTATAAAAATAAGAACCAAGTAAAAAAGATTATAAGAAACATGAAGGAATCTAGTACAGATTCTTAGGAAACCATACTCCATCTTTTACAATGAAAAGTATTTTACCATATAAGAGTAGCATTCGTCAGACTAAATCTTACATTCCTAAGGACAAATTTTGAAGTGTATTAGTATAGTATTGGACCTTACAGAAACTAAGTTCATGGAATATAAGCAGACAGATGGATAAATTCAATGAAAAAATGAATATAAACATGACAGTGTAAAACTCTTAACATACAAAGTTTCATTTAACCACAAGTTTATGGGTACTCCATGTTTTAAAAGATGATTATGAAATCATTCTTGCATTTGCATAATTACATATGTATATATTGGTATATGTTTGGTGAGTAGTTCCAAAAACTAAAGCAGCAGTGAGCAGGAGACGGCATTTCATGGAAGTCCAAGAGAACTGGATTCTGGAACCAACTTCACTAGTTAATAGCTACTGATTCACGGTAACAAAATTGGTATTAGTCAGCATTCCCTGAGGGAGGGAACAAAAATAAGGAGATTCATACATGCATATACACTTACATATATCACTGTTACATATATATATATATATATATATATATATATATATATATATACGTACTTATGCATACATATGATTTATTATAAGGAATTGTCTCATAGATCAAGGTACCAGCAGATTAGATGTCTGATGAGCGTTTTCTTTCTGGTTTGTCGGTTATTGCCCTCTTTCTGTATCCTAATACATTACAGAGATTGAGCTTTGGTCTCTTCCTCTAAGGGCACCAATCCTATCATGAGGGCTTTACTTTTATTACTTCATCTAAACCTAATTAACACCCATGGGTCTCCCCTCTACATACCATCACATTGAGGATTAGGGCTTCAAATATGAATTTGGAGGAACACAATCCAATCCATCGCATTTTCTCCTTGTTCCCCAAACTCACATCATTCTCAAGAGAAAAATTTAGTATACCTTTGTTATCTTCAGATATATTGGTTCCAAGGAGAGCAGAGTTGAGGAGAAACTGTGAATCCTCAGGATGCTTAGCATTTAAACACAACTCGTGATAATATAGGACAGACAGAGAGCTTCTCTACATCAGATCAGGTGTGTAATCCCATGCACAGAAATTTTTTTTAAACTGTGCTTAGTCAAAGCCATGCGAGCTTACTGTATCTTCATTCCAACCAATATCCCCTGGAGTCTTTATTAATTTCAGCATTAACTCTGAATTCCTAAGTTAAAGTCTC